AAAAACAAAAAAAAAAACCCAACCCCTGCCCCCCCACAGCTGCCCCATCCAGCCCTTTAAGAAACCCCTCCTCAAACCCCTGGAACCATTGTCTTGCTGGGCAGGGGGTGATCCCCACCACCCCATGCTGCATGGGAGGCTCTACACAAGCCCGCTGAAGCCCCAAGGCTGCTGCAGGAGTGGTGAGTCCTGGGGCTTTTCTCGTTTCTTTTTTCCTTAAGAGGCTGGGGCTGGGGGAGCAAGGCGGGGGTTGGAGGGCTCATAGCAGAGCCCCTCATGTGGGGCAGTGGGGATCTCCCCTCTGCCTGGCAGCACCTGGTGAGTGGGGCTTTTTTTTAAAGCACCAGGAGCTGGGGTAGGCAGGGCAGCCATGAGGGCTGGGGGAGCAGATGGGGGATGGGGACTGGCAGGGGTCCCCCCATGGTCCACTCCCTCTCCTTCCTCCAGTCACCCCTTTCCCTGCCCTCTACTTACCAGCTCTGAGTCCAGCTGCAGCTCCCTGCTGCAGCCACCGGGAACTGCCCGGATCATTGAAGATTTGGAGAGCTTTGAATTGATTCAGACCTTTGAATCAGTCTCCTAATTCGATTCGGATTCAGAGATTCGGCCACCGAATTGGGCTGAATCTTCTCTGGATTGAATTGGCACCTGAAGCAACGCACAGCCCTAAAAAAAAAAAAAAAAGTCCCCATGTGTAGGAAATAAACTTCATTTTTGCACAGAGCAAGCAGAAGCTGGAATACTGTCCCTTTGGGTCCATGAGAGTCTCTTTGTGAGCTTGCTCTTTGTTGTGTAGATCAAGCAGGATTTCTTCTCTGTTGGTGTCAGATGGCAGGCAGGGAGGTGTAGAAATCTTTCTTTTTGTTCAGCAATGACATTTATAATCCAAAATTGGCTAAAATTCAGCATCTTCCATGTTTCAGGGATGTATGTGGTAGCTGTGTTTGTCTGAGACAAAAAAAATGCAAAATCTAGAACTCTTGGTTCCAAAATGATACCTCATGACAAAGAAACTCTCATGGACCAGAGGGACAGTTTTTCAGCTTGTTTCTGCTGTGCAAAAATGAAGTTTATTTTCTACATATATGGGGACTTTTTATTGTCTTGGACTTTTCTCTGAACATGATAAAGGGCGTATGAGCCCGAAAGCTTGCAGAGAGATTTTTTTTTTGCAATTTCTCAGTGGATCTAATTTTTGGAATAATAGGTATAATTTTTGGAAGCAAGCGTTCCATTTCTTGTTGTTCATTATATACCCAGCTCAGCACCTCATGTACACATGATATAATTATTAATTGGGCAACTAACTTGATGTATTACTAGCCTAAATTCATGTTTTAGGGCCTAGATCTTCATTAGAGGAAACTTGTTCACAACCCTTTTTTGTAATAACACTCCTTGTATGCTCTCTTTTTAATGAATACATATGAAGAAATAGTGTGTTAAATTGGTTTAGGAAAGGAGTGTTGGTGAACTAAACTTTTGTTTAGCTAAAGCTTTGCTTTCAGAAATGTGCAGGCTGGATCTGATCCTTTCCTGCTATCTTTTCCATAACGGCTACCATTTTATGTTCCAGCATCTGATTTAAACACAATGACAAAGTCTCTAGATCTTATGTTTGTGAAGATGATCTAATGCAAGTAAACTAGGATAACTAAGGAGATAGGCCAGGTACAGACATTACACTTTTACCAGTACAAGTGATTGGAAACTGGTGAAGTTTGGCACACAAGACCGGTCTGTACCCCTAACAGAACAGAAGTTTGGCGCGCACAGACAGGTTGAAAAACGGTGGAAACCACTCAGAGATTTCCACCTCTTCTCCCTCTACCACCACCAAAGGGTGAATTTGTGTTTTGTTCACTATCTATCTTAACTATGCCACTTACAGAAAACGGCATAACTTGCTTTTTTGATGTCTGTACCTAGCCATAATGTCCACTGAGTCTACAAACAGCCTGAGGAAATAGCTCTAGAAAAAATGTGAGTTAAGCTTCAGTGAAGTTAATGACATGATCGTCATTCTAATTTCACTGCTGATTTAAAGCACTTGAGAGAAAATATGGGTGGTTATAGAAAACTACAGAATGAATTGTTTGGTATCTCATACTTGGCTTGTTTTACATTCCAAATATTTGTTGGCTGGGACTGTGAAAAGCTTTTCCTGCCTAACCTATGTAGTTTCGCTGGCAAAGCTCCTTCACACTACAGTTGTAAACAATAGAAGGGAGATAGCGTAAGTGATAGTGGCAGGAAAAAAACCCTTTGGTGCCATATGCTGTGTCTCAGTAAGGGTGAAGCCTCTTCCACAATATTTTTGCCAGAAAATCTATAGTGGCAGCAACCCTGCAATATAGTTAAGTTTCCTCTTGGAGATGTCAGTGGGTGGAGCTTCGTTGTGTGCAGAGCCAGGACTGCTGCTAATTTCCTTTCCCACAGCCTTTTTTTTTTCTTTGGAGTAAACATACTATATACCAGGTTTCAGCTGAATTCCTTGTACTGTTATGCAGTGTTGGAATTTAGCAATTTAGCTTGTAAGGAGAATCTGCCGAAAGTTTTTTGCTTGAAGTTGGTCTTCTTTCTTAGATTCTGTAACAGCTGCAGTCTTCCACCTTGGAACTATCTGGATGCTTCTAGCCATCTCACACCAATCCCACAGTCCTTTATTTTCCTTAATGTCATTATAAAGAAAATTAACTTTCAGATAATAGCTATTTTGAATATACGTAGTATTTTATTTTCATCAAAAATTCTGGCTAGATGATGATGACTTTCTTGTGTTTTCCCTGGCTGGCAGAGAATTGTCATGTTGCAGTTCCAAATTAATGTGCTGGAATTGGCAGGGTTTTTTTTTTATCAGTTTAACAAATTCTCTTGTGTGATATTGCAGGATTTATTGGTTATGCCTCATATATGAACCGCATTGTACAGAAATGGAATCTGCAGGATAATGATGATGACCAGCTTTTTTATACCAAAATCTATATTGACCCACAGCAAAGGGTATGTAGAGATTTGATTTTTCTTTATAATAGACTTAAAATAGGGTTATCATACATCTGGGTTTTCCCATACATGTCCTATTTTTGAGTCCTCCAATCTCAGTCTGGCCAGTTTTTTTGAAATTTGAACAACATTCTGGTTTTTTGCTCTGCTCCACTGCTGGGAGCTGTGGCTTGGGAGTGAAGGGCAACAGAATGGACGGGGCATGGCACTGCCATATCACTGTCCCCCCACAGTCGTATCATTTCCCCCCTTCCCTGTGTGACAGGTGTCTGGTTTTTTGAAACTGGAAATATGGTAACCCTATTTAAACTAATATTTTGAAACTTAAATTCTTAGAGCAAGATACCTAAATCCATAATTAAATGCAAGTAGAGCTGGGTGAGGCAAGAATTTTTGTGGGTGATACCTTTTATTGGACCAACTGCATGGTAGGGATGGATGTAGGCAAGTGTTCAGGTATCACAGTGCCCCTCCTCAAGCCTGTCATATCTGAAAGATGGCCAGGTCTATCTCAACCATGCAGCTGCTCCAATAAAAGATATCACCCACAAGAATTCTTGCCTCTTTTATATTTCCTGGACCATTATGACAACAACATCAGTTTGCTGAAAAAAGTTTTGGCCTAAAGCATTTCACCTAAAAATGAATTGTTGGTAATGCCAAATATTTAACAAATTTGTCTGTTTCACTAGATTACAAACTTTTTTTTTTTAAAGAAAAGGTTGATATATTTCAGTTAAACTTCTAAATGAATGGATTCATTTTTTCTTTAAATTATGTTTTCCTTCAGTATTAATAGAAAAAAAGACTTTTACCTGAAATATTTTATTTAAGGTTGATAGAAATTATTTATTTGAAGGCTCTCTTCCAACATTTAGGACCACAAAAAGTTACAAAAATAGGTGTTGTAGCCCAATTTGTTTTTTTAATTAATTAAGGGGGGGCAGGGGGAAGCTGGGTTTTGTTTTCTTTCTGTTCTTTCACCCCAAATGTCAAGCCATTCTTCAAGTTTCAGAAGTAAATTGAAATTGTAGTTTATAAATATAATTTGATACCCCAGTAAGTGATTATTGCACTACAATGACATAAGATGACCTCTAAATTAAATGACCTTTAAATTATTGGTCTAGTATTGGTTCCCCCCCGCCCCCCAATCTGAAACTCCAGTGAAGTTTAAGAAGAATTTGGACTGCTTACTGAATATGTCAGCTTTAATTAAGTGCTCAGCCTCTACTCAGCCTCCTGCCTGCAACCTGGATCCAGCCCACAGAGATGTCATCCAGTCTGTAGGGCTCCCCATGTAGTCTGAAATTTGTCAGCTGGGGAATGAGTGTTAAATCATCATAGTAATTAACACTACCACCACTCCTCTGCCACCAAATTTTCAACCCTATGAGGAGTTTTGTGGTCTGGATGATATAGCTGTGCATACCAGGTGTGTTGGCACAGGGTTGTGCCATGACCAGATCTGGGACAAAAGGTGCTGGTATGCTGTATCATGTCTCTGGACCAACCCGATATGCTATCACTATGGTGGATCCAGCCTGTGAACCATTGTTGCACCAGTTATTCAGCCTACAGGACCATAGAGATTGAGCACCACTTTTTAAGGTTTAAAAAAAAAATAGACTACACTTATAAAACAGTGACTTTAATGCATGTCATATCATGATACTTAGTTTTAGCTTGTACCTTTTAGAAGCATTGAAATAATACTTTATTGTGCATGTGTGTAGCACACTGGGGTCCCAGGGGTAGCCGTGATGCCCCTGGTGGTTCTGCGACCATACCCTGCTCATCCCCTAGACCCCCCCACTCTGCTCTGTGCCCCGTTGCATTCCTTCCCTTCTCACTTGCCACATCTTGATGGAATACTAGTAATAATAATAATAGGGAGGCTGCTTACGAGCCTTTGCGTGGGCCCCAGTCTACCTGGCCCCTTGCTGGGCTTGCTCTTGTCCTGGGCTGCTCAGGTCAGCTGTGCCCTAGCAGGGCACTCAAAGCTTTAGGGGCTAATTGTGTAGCTATAAACCTCCCCTAAAGCACACCCCAAGCGTTGCAGGTGTTACCATAATGTTGTTCCCTCTGTTGGGGCTTTGGCCTCTTCTGCTTCCACCCCTTTAATGTAGCTAGGCTTTCTAGCCTGGGCCCACTATATCAGACTTGGCTTTGAGACACTAGCTCTGCTTCATCCCTTCCAGTCACTGGGGCCCTGGTCCCTGTCTGCCAGGCCCCTGGCCTCTGCCTGGCTGCACCCTTCGTCAGGTGCCAGGCCCCTTGGCCCGTGCCTGGCTCTGTGGCCTTGCGCTGTCTTCCTGTTCTGGGCTCAACAGTTGCTCGAGTCTTGAGTCTGCCCCTGGCAGGGCTCAAAGTGATTGTGTGCCGCATAGGCACCAGTGGGACCTCTATATACCACCCCTTACTATTCCAACCCAAATCACTGGTGTAAATGAAATATTATATGAACCCTGGGCTGTAACATAAACAACAACAGTGGAAGCAGCCCTCTGCCCCTTTAAGAGGGCAAACCTTCCCTCACCCCTTGTGCTGGAATATCTTCCAGCCTGGGCTCCTTGTGAGTGCCCTGAGCCTCAGCGTTCCTGCAGGCAGCAAAGCAGACAGTCTGATATTCCTGGGTAGCTCTCCTGGGCAGGAGCTCTTAACCGTGCAGCTGGCAGGGCTAGATTGGCTTGCCAGCCCAAGCCCCAGTCTTATATCCTTCCAGGGCCCTGCCTACTTCCAGTCAGCAGGCTGCTGTCAGGTGCCTGCTAATTTCCTCATTTGCCCTGTTGCCCCAGCAAGCGGCAGCTACTGCACCCTGCCTGCCCTGCAGTGCTCCTTGCTGGGCTGCTTCTGCCTTAAAGGAACAGGAAGCCTCAGGCTCTCTGTTAGTGTGCATATGTTCTTAAACTAACATGTTGTCTGACTAAGACTTTTTATTTTTTCTATCGAGAGAATACTGCCAGACATTTCTTTGATTTATACTGCCATTGCAATTCCTTTGGAAAGTCATGACCTCCATTTGCTGAGTTTACATAATACAAGACAAGCCCATTGGTGTTATACTAGATTAATCTGAACAATTTTTTGATGAACTGGATACTTTGGAGAGAAAATATATCCAAGAAGCTGTCAACTTATAGTTGAAAGGAGTCACTGAGGGGAAAAAAGGCTAAAATTTATATTTATATCTAAAAGTAGATTAACTGATTAGAGGCTACATGTTTTTATATTTAATGTTGGACATTACAGTGAAACAAATACTGCACTAACTTTTAATTTTACAGTGTCTTTTGGTATTTTTAATTTTAGGAACACATGAATATTACTTTGGATCACAAGTGCACAATTTTTCAGACTTTAAATGGAGCTGTTGGTATGTATGTTATAGTGTATGTTGACTGGAATATGCTATGCATGGATCTTTCATAAGTTTCTTTTTGTCTGCTTTCTAGTGAATGTTGTAGTCCCCCCCATTACTTAAAAGAACTAATTTACGTATGTGTTCAGGGGGCTGCTCCATGAATAATAGGTTAAATAAGATTACTGTACTTCTCAGGTCTGACGTATCGTGTCAGTGGATTTTTCTTTCATTGTCAGAATAAATTATTTAAATTCAAATGTAATGATGAATGTGAAGTTGTATCCTTCTTTCACATGTACCAATAAACTTAGTTATAGAAGTGTATAAGTAACTTGAATTGTATGTTCATTTGAAATCATGCTAATAGCAAGGTGTAATGAAGTGGGCTAGCTGTGATTTTTAATTAATTTTCATTTTCAAGTCATAATTATAATTGAAAGTCTTCCGTGTTGTCCGTACATGTGAACTTTCTTACAACCTCCACCTTTGACCTTCAACTGTGGAACAACTGAGTTGCATTCCTCTGTAAATGGAAAATTAAAGTTAAGAAATAGCATATGTTCTAAGCTAAGCATTCTTTAACCTGTGAAGAAAGAAGAGCATAAACTCTGAAGTCAAGGGCCTTATTTTACTCATCTACTTGACCTACTGGCATGGAAGCCAAGATTTTAAATAATTAGGAAGTTAAAATAACATTAACAGTAGGACCAAGGTACTGGAAGGAATTCAAATATTTAATTGTGACATTGCTTTATAACTTGAGCATCATACAAATAACGGTTTTCATTCTGATTGCTAAAATACTACTGAATTTTTTTTAGATGAGGTTCTTCTGAAATTTGACGAAGGAAGAGTAAGAGCCAGAAATTCCATGTATGAAACACTGCCAGTCACTATTCATGGAAATGGCCAATCTAAAGTAAGTGATAGTCACTTCTTCTGCCATGACCAATTTAAATAAGGTCAGAGGGCAAATGTGGATGCGGAGGGGGAAAGCCTGAAGTAAGTCTTTGAAGAAATGGTGTTCTCATCTCTATTATAAGGAATAAGTCACATGGCAAACTCCTCATGTATTGTTGAGTCTTCAACATACTATTCTGATGTCACTGTGGGTGTTTATACATGTGCTCTGGGAGGGGGGAGCATGCTTTAATTAGTCTGGAGCATCACACGTATCAGCATCCCCATGCTGAAAAATGGCAGTGTGATGCTTTGAACTAAAGCTCGTTGAATGAGCTGTAATTTAAAGTGCCCCGCCATCATTTTTCAGAGCTGGATTGCTGATTGATACACGTGATGCTGGAGTCTGCTGGAGTATGGTAATTTCCACGCTCCAGCAGACTCAATTAATTGAGCAGCCTAGAGTCAGAGCAGCCTCCCTGCACATGTATAGGAACCCTGTATTGATAACAAGTTAGAACAACTACTCACTTTACTTACTGCAAACTCATTGCAGCTCAGGATTTTGAAAGCTAACACTTCTGTTGGACATTAGTGTCATTCTTGAACATTAAGTAGAAATATCCATTTTATTATTTCATCATAATCATAGTAAATGGAGACTTTGAGCAGGAAAAATTAATCCCCCAGTTCCATACAAGGGCACAGAGCATGTGTGCTTCATCAAAATCACTCTGCAAAATAGTTTTTACAGGGATACTTAGTGCTACTGCACCCTCATAACCACTGATGCTTGGGTCTTTCTCCAGAGCATTCCAGTGTTGCCTTTTTACCAGCCAATCTGTGGCGTCCTTTGTTCTTCAGGGAGTGCAGGATTTGCTCTGTGGGATGGTTCTTTTGACTTCCTCATAAAGCAAAATGGAGTGAAATATCTTCAGGTCCTTTGCATGTGGTTGAATTTCACTCGCTTTAAATGACTGGACATTTCTTACATATTTTAAGCATGTGTAAACAATTTATCCCAATTCTTCTTGCTCTCGCTTGCCATCCTAAAGCAAGCATGTATCTGTTTGCTCAAAGGAAATGGCTAGAATTTTTATATGATGCAAGCTTAAAGAGAGTAGTTCCCAACACAAAATGAAATCCCTTTGAAAATCCCAACCACTGTTGATTTTGTTTTCCCCTATATTTTATATTTTTAAATTGCAAAAATCTAGAACTCTTGGTTCCAAATTGATACCTTTTATTAGACCAACTGAAAAATTGCAAAAAAAAATCTTTTAATATTTTAAATTGGCACTTGTTTTTATTAATGCTTTAAGTTATGTTTAACATGTTAGTCTTTGGTAAGACAAACACAATTAATGATGATATTGCTTTCATTTGTAAGATTTAATGCTATGTATCCTTTCCACCATCAAAATAGTGTTTATTGTAGTGTTTCCATTTAGTGAATTTTAGTGTACAGTACCAAGAAATCAGTTGTAGGTGCTGTGTACTGCATTGCCCTTATTTCCTAATATTTTTTTGGTGTTAGAGAATCATTTCAGTAAATACTAATGTACCTTAAATTAGCTATCAGTACTGTATTTTCCCTTGCCAAAAGAAAAGTAATATATTATATGTTACTGTTTGATGAGGAGATATGGTTGGGATTTTTTTGGGATATCTTAGGTTAATCTACATAGTTTTTATATTGAACAAAACTTGATTCCTATTTATAGTCATATATCAGTTTACCCTGTTTCTGTGACAAAACAAAAGCATCTGGGTTTTGTCTAAAAGTCAGCTGAAGAAAATAAAATACAAAAAATCATAGAGGTCATTTGTTATAAGCTATGGCGGTACCTTTTCTGTTGTAATGGAGTATACACAGACATGCATTGTTGTGGGGAGGTTAGAACTTTTAAATATTCACCAGTTGGACAACGTTCTAGCACCAAAAATGTCCAATTGGAAAGAAACTTCTATTATGTGTGTACTTTTTTGCATTCAAATAGTTTAAGCACTGGTAGATTATTTTTTATCAAAAAGTTGCTGGCAAAATAATAGTGATACTGTAAACCATGTACTTTTTTCCTTATAGTAATTATATTCTCTTTGCTCAAGTTTTTTTTGTTTATGCATTTCTGTAGATTTTTTTATGCATCTGAAAGTCAGTTAAGGCATTTTATTTTGGTATATCTACAATAAATATTTTTACCATGTAAGGTGAAGAGAGAAGGTGATCATACTAGGACAAATTGACAGCAAGCTAGTGTATTACAATTGTACTAGAATGCTTTTTTTTACCTGAGAAATTACATGCTGTATTTCCTGACTTCGATTAGAGTGGCACCAAGATAATTTGGATGAGATCCTATGCAATATTGTAGAAGTACAGATTTGGCATCCAGCAGGACATGGCAGCCCAGGCAGACCTTCAGCAGAATAACTCCATAATTAGTTCAGGGCCAGTTCCAAAGCTGCCTCAAGAATCTGTCAAGGAGCCAGATACAGCTGTGGAGTATATTCCACTGTTTGTCTTATGGACCCTAGGACAGCTGTCCAAAATGTGAAAGCTTCAGTCCAGTCCATTTTTCAAATTGCACATCTGCATCTTCTCAGCTTTGTCCCTGTCATCCTTTCTTTCATATGTAGTTTAGCTGTATCTCTATATTTGTTTTCCCCCAAATGCCATGGTTTTCAGATTCAGGAGGGATATTTATTTGGTTCTGATTTTTTTTGGGGGGGTGGGGTGGGGAAGGGAAGTGGGGGATAGGAGGGAGGGATCAATCATAGCAGTTTCTCAGTGCACTTATAACTTTCTATCAGTATTATTTAGTGTCCTGAACGAGAGATGCTAAAGGGATTTTCTCTGTATCATGTGCATGAGAGCATAACATACTTTTACTAGTTGTCTCTGTTTTAAGTTAACAAAAGAAAAAGACAATAAATAAAAATATATACAATTCATTAAGATTATATGGGGATTAATTCTAAAACTGTTAAAAGAGACAGACACAGATTTTACATTCATATGGAATTAATCTAAATTACTTTGAATTGTTCATTTGTTTACTAGATTTACCTAAATTACTTGGGAAATTATATCCCTAACGTTTGGACGCGTGAAACTGGATGCAGTGTTTGTGACTTAGATTTACTAGACCTATCAACCTTAAAAGTAAGTATCTTGCAAGTATATCCAAACACTTTGATACGTGATTTTTTTTGATGTCCATGTAATGTTATGTATTGATCAACCAGTGTGTTGGTTGATATTTTCATGAAATAATGAAAACAGATTTGAGATTTCCTCCCTGTATCAGTAATCTAAAATCTAAATATTAATATTTTACTATTAGTTGAAATTTGTAATATGCTTCCCAGTGCTATGAGTACCATACATCTGAGTTAAAAAACCCAAGAAAAATATTAATCAGTTAATAGAATTTAGACCTACATGGTCTGCATCTGTAGATACATGTTTGGAAGAAAAAGATATATATCCAATGAATGCAACTGCAGTTGAGCAGTTACACGTGCAAGATATAGCTATAGCTATAGATTGCTTTTCTGGAAAAATGAAATGTAATTTGTTACCTGGGGAGTTCCACTATGGGAGAAATCTTGAGTTCTGGTAGCACTAGCAAATGTTTGCTGTACCATCCTAAATTGGCCCCCTATATAGAAAATGTAATGTAGAAACTGGCAGGCCTTTATTTTGGGGTACTTTCTGCAGCTGTCTTGGTCCTGAAAAGAACCATTATTGGTCTGTACTATTTAAAGTACCCCTGAGGCTCAAACAAAAACAGTCTGCTGAAACAGATAGATAATAGGGGTGTGCGAAGCAGGCCCTATTTGATTTGGATTCAGGTTCTGCCTGAATCGGGTACAGTGATTTGATTTGTTGATTTGGATCACTGTCTCAGATTTGATTCGGCTGAATCCAAATCTGAAGATTCAATGCTGATTCGGAGAATCGGCGATTCAGACAGACACAGCTTTAAAATGTTTTTTCTACATACCTTGAGGTACCAGTGTCGCTTGTGAACGCTACGATGCTCGGGCGCATGGAGTGTCCCACAGGAGTGTGAGGGGCCCTCCACATCCTCAGCGGTGAACATGGAAGTGGATCGGAAGTACTTCCAGTCCACTTATGGGTCTCATGAGGAGCACGCTGGAGGGCCCCCCCATGCCCCCTGGCTCAGCAATTGGCTGCGGGTGGACCCCGGGTGGAACCAGTCCCAGACCCCTGGCACCTGTCACCAAACCAGGGGGTGTGCAGGAGGGCCCAAATGGACTGGAAGTGCTTCTGGTCCACTTCCAGGTCTGCTGCCAAGTGTGCTGGGGAGCCCCCTGTGCTTCTGTGGGACACTCCGTGTGCCCCAGCATCACA